AGTGTAGACATGGAACCTGATGTAACTTACATGGGGTTTAACATGATTCTTCATCACTGCTCCCCATGTTCCTCTTCCCTCTTCCTGCTCCCTGGTCCCCTTCTCCAGCCCTGGCAGCTCTCACCAGCGCTCGCCTGGCCTGGAGCATCAGCTGGCGCAGGGCTGAAGGACAGCCAGGTTGGGGTCTGGGCTGTGTTCGGCAAACAAGTCGCACAGTCAGCAAAGTGTAATTGGCCTTTTCATATTGGAACTTAGAATCCTTTTTACTTTACATTCATCCATTCATTTGTTCATTCATTTCAGCATTGCACCGTGGTCCAGGCAATTTTGTTAGGGATTCAGGTAGAAATACGCTTTCTTCTTTCTCAGAGGTTTGGTTATTTTTTAATTTAGAATTATTTCATATTTGATTCTCTTAATTTCAACATCTGCGTTTAAAAAAAGTATTTGGGAAATGGAGATAGCAAGTTACATTAGAAAGGCTTGACAACTTGACAGTTTTAATACTGTTTGTGCCATTACCACAATGTAATCTTCATTTTACCCCTTTGAACCGGTTTTACTCTCTGTTAATTGCAAATAATGTATTGTGAATGGTTAGGAGAGTAAAGATAATGTGTAACAAGCTCTTAGCATGGTATTTGGCTTGGGCAGTGCTTAATAAAATAGTTCCTGCTAAGATCAATACTAGTCCCTAAAATATTTATTCTGAGCAATAAATTAGTTTGTTGCCCAGAGCACTTAAAAAGAAAAAAAAAAAAGGAGTATACTCACTGTGATTAAACGGTTAATTTAAAAAAATGAACTCATCTTTAGTCGGGACAGGTTGTCAGAGCGCGTCTCTGTCAGCATGACCTTCTCTGGGCCCGCTGCTGCACATCAGCCAAGCCACGTGACACCTCTGGACCCTGGAATAAGGGAGGAGCAGTCATAAGTTCCTTAGGGTGCATAAGTTGTGTATCAGACTGGGTGCTAACTCCAGCTGTTTCTGAGTGGAGAAACCAGGTACCCGTGCCCTGGGGCTTCCGGGGTTCCCTTAGGAATGCGCCAGATGTCGGTGGTCAGCCGGGCCTGGAAGGAGGAGGCCGGCAGAACTCGCTCAGGCGTCCCAGCGTTTCTTCACGCACGCTTTTCTTTTCTACATAGAACTGATTTTCTTCTTTGCATTTTATTCTTTAACATTTTACTTGATTATTGCATAGAAGAAGTGGGGTGTAGGCCAGAGGAGTCACCAGAGACAGAGTGGGGAGCAGAACTGAAACACACTGCTGAGGGCAGCAGCGGGGAGACTGGAGGGGTCTGCCTCGCCCTGCGGGGCGACCCTGCTGGGACTGAACTCGGGCCGCTGCCGTGATAGCGCTGAGAGGGAGTCCTGGGCCGCCAGGGCGCCCTCTGCCTTCGGCCTTCTGGGGTGACGTTTGCCCCTCCAGCACTAGGTTTACATGTTGATTCTTGTCATCACTGGCACAGTGACCTGATTGCAGTTTTCAGTGATTTGTTCCATAGTGTTGGTCAGTTTTACATATTGATTTCACGTCACAATTCAGAGAAACTGGCCTCTACAACATACATTTGATCTTCCCCTGAGAACCCGGAGATTTTTCAGAGAATGGGGAGTGAGTTGGAATGACAGATAATTTAGAAAGAATGGGCCAAAAGTGAAAACACTGAACTCTGTAACATCATAGAAAGTAAAGGTAGTAAGTAAATACAAGATCAAGTTTTTGAATAGAAATGTAAAATATTCAAGGAATGAAAAGTTGTGGATTGTTTAGTTTTCTTTTTCATCGTTTCATTGACTTCCTGAGCTGTCAGCTCTAATAGTACACCAGGACATCTTGTAAAATATCCTAGTCACCGAGTGAGTGATGTAGTAATTTCAGCGTGGCTTTTACCTTTGTTTTCAGTCATTTTCTTAACACCGCTTGACTGTTGTAAGACAGCAAGCTGACTGTATATCCCTCTACAGGTGTTTAATAGTTATTATTCTTTGTTGTTATTTTTTAACCACAAATTCAAATTATTAATAGCTATGATGTGCTTTAAGTATCAATTCTGCACCACCCTTTTCCTGGACTTCTGTTTAGCTTTGGAGAATTAAATTGTGGCTTATATGATACCTTTGTTTTGTGATCCTGTAATGTAAGTGGAACTAGAGTGCCTTTTCAGTGTTGGAGATTGGTGTCATCATTATTTTGGATTATAGTTTGCTCCTATTTTCAATTTCAGTAGGGTTTGTATGTCTCTACCCACCTTGTTAATCTGATTTAAAGGTTTCTTCCTTAAAAAAAAAAAAAAACTTTATCGAAATATAATTTCCATACTAAACAATTCACTCATTTGAATACAACTATTTTGATACATTACATTTTAAAAATTGTGCTCAAGTATGTGATATAAAAATGACCATTGAAACAATTTTAAGTGTGCAGTTTGGTGCCATTATTTATGTCACAATGCTGTATAGCCTTCACCCCAATTTCCAAACTATAAAGAGATATTCTATAATCATTAAGTAGTGACTCCCCATCTCTGCCCTTCTGCCAGCCCCTAGTAACCTCTAACCTACTTCCTGTCTCTATGTGTAACTTAACACATGAGCCATGTTGCAGCATGTTACCGCGATGGCTTGCATTTCTTTTTAAGGCTGAGTAGTACCTGATTGTATGGTTATATCACGTTTGCTCATGCAGTCATCCCTTGATGGACATTTGGGGTGTCTCCCCCTTTTGGCTGGTCTGTGGTAACTCTTTGACGAACATTGGTGTCTGAGGATCTGTTTGATCCTCCTGGTTCCTCTGGGTGTGAGTGTCGCTTGCCCCTTTCCTATCTCAAGGTAGAACTTTTCAGTCTTGTCTTACTGACTATGATTAAACTGTAGGGTTCAAAAAAAATTAATGGTGTATGTTAAGGAAGTTCTCTTATATTCCAGTTTATTCATTTTCTTTATCATGAAAGAATGCTAAAAAGGCACACTAAATTTTGTAGAAATTTTTCTCCAGTGAGATGGTTGTTTCCTCCTCACTATATAATGTGGTGTCAAGCTTTTGTTAACAGTATTTTAGATATATTTTGAATGCCACTTCTTTTTCTCTTCCTCTGTCTCATGTTAGTATGTGAGATCAGTTCTTACAAAACTAAGTTTAAGTTTCTTCTTAAACTTGGCTTCAAGAATTTAGATGTTAAGTGGTGTGAAGTGAATATCTTTAATAGACTTCATTTTTGAAAAATTAATGCAAGTTAGATTATGTCTGAGAAAGTGAGTAATCTTTCCTTGCCCATTTTTATTTTACATCTTCATATAATAGCACAAACTTAGAGGAAGTTTTCATCGCACATAATTTCTAGAAGTGTTATGCTGTAAGTACCCCATGCAGCCACATAACAAGTGTGAATTTAGGTCGTACTGGTTTTAACACATTTTTATTTTTCACATATTTTCTTTCATTTGACTGACTAGAGAAAATATATTTACTTTTTTGCTATTTTGTGTTGGCATCTTAAACTTTTTATTTTGAAAATTACATTTTTATGTCTAAATTTCAAAATAGTTAAATGAGCTCCTATGTAGATTTTAGATTTTGAGCACCTTCTAGATTTTAAAAATGATGTGAACATTGTTGAGACGACAACAAAGAACTTATAATATTATATAAACTTGGTTGATAAAGCTGTACCATGGTTTGAGAGGGTTGACTGAAATTTTGGTAGCAGCCACTGTTATCACTTACTGCTGGTAGAGAGCTGTTGGTCACATGGCATAGTGTAAAGAAATCTGTGAAAGTTTAGTGAATCAATGTAGCAGGCTTCATCTTTGTCTGGCTTTCAGAAATTGTCATAGCCAGTCCTGTCTTGCAACACCACTACAGTGATCAAATAGAAGTTATCGAGGAAAGACCTCAGATGATACTTAGCATTTTTAGCAATAAAATATCTAAAACTGAAACATTTATATTTATTAGCATGCCAATTAAGCTACAGAATAGTGAAAAAATAACCTTTATGTACATTAAAAAGCAATAAAAAAGCGTGACTCTTTATTGTGACAGCTGGTTTATTGCAGTGTTCTGGAACTGAACGCAACAATGTCTCTGAGCTATTCCGGTCCCCACCCATCTGAGCCAAGTATTTCTGTTACTCCGGGGTGGGAGGGTGCTAGCTTTAGATTCTGTGCTGTACCTGCGGTTCCCTCTGTCTCCTCTATAGGCTTGCAAATAGTCTATTTACAAATAACTTTTACTCAAATTAATATATTTTATTTCCTGCTGGGAGCTCGGCTCATACATCGTGGCCACACCATCACAACTTGTCCATCCAAATTTGTTCGAATCCAGCGTTCCTTGCTCCTTTCTATCACTGTTCATTTCCTAGCTTCTATTGTTTCACCCTTTCCAGTGTTAGATTCTTCTTACATTGTGTGTGTGAGTTTACACTTACAGTCTGTCTGTAAGACTGAGAGATTCTTGAAAGTACCATATTGTAATCGTATTTGTTTTAAACTCCAGTGACTACCGACTAACCTTTATTCTTTGTTCGTATTAACTTGCTAAAGACATATTAATAGAATATATGGATGAGTGTGAAAAAATAATTTATTTCATGAGAATTGCTGATGCTTTCTGCTGCCATGAAATTTGCTTCTACTTTTGTCACCATGAAATTTGTTGTTAAGTTATAGATCTAGTATTGACAGAATACAAAACATGTTTAACATGAGAACAATCTGGTTTCATTTATACCTTCCTACTGCTTTACCTTATTTCATGTTTTAAAATATGTTACTTATTAAACAACTAATTGATATATTAAAAAATGAAAATATTTCCTTATGGAAATCAAACCTTGGTAAAATTTGGTAAAATTATTAAATACTTTGACTTAATTCTTAACCATAATTACATTTTTTATTGTGTAAGTAAGAAATACCATTGTATATATCTACTATATCATTACTTATATCTACTTTTGGAAAGTAATCAATGTTACTTTTTTTGTTTCAGCAAAACCATTTACTTCTAAAGTGAAACAAATGCGATTACATAGAGAAGACTTTGAAATACTAAAGGTGATTGGTCGAGGAGCTTTTGGAGAGGTAAGAGATTTTATAGACGTTCTGTTGATTGTCTTGGACACAATGTTAAACTGTCTGAGAGAATTTAATTGAAGTATTATTTACTTGTTGTGACAGAGGTTACTGATCATAAAATTATTAGTTTTGAATGAAATATTATTACATAGAAATTTCCCCCAAGATACTGTTCGTACACCTACCAGTGTAAATACACGTCGCTTCCGGACTGTTCTGCTCCATTCCGTCCATCTTGTCTCTCCCTGTGTCAGTACCACGGAGTCTTCGGTTACAGGTTTTCTTGATATCTGCTAGATTTGCACTCCCGCTTCTTTCTCTTTATTCTTTTACTGCCTATAATCATTCAGTGTTGCTCTTTCGTTGACAGGGTCAATTACTTTGACTAATTTTTAGAGCTGTTTTAGCTTCATACACAAAGTCGAGCAGAAGGTATTTAGTTTTTGTGTATTTCACGAATGTTCAGCCTCCTGTTGTCAACATACACATCGGTGATCTGTTGTTAAAATCAGAGTCTGAATCCATATGTCATCACTCAAAGCCATGGTTTGCATTGGATTCATTCACTCCCGGTGATACATACTCTGTGATTTTGACATGTGTAATGGCATGTATTACCATACAGAGCACGTTCGCTTCCCTGAAAGTAGTCTGTGTTCTGCCTGTTGTTCCTTCCCTCTCCCAAGTCTTGATCATCAGTTATCTTTTTAATGTCCTCATAGTTTGGCCTTTTCCAGAATGTCATTACAGTAGGAGTCTACTACATACAGAATGTAGTCTTCTCAGATTAGCGTCTTCCATGTGGTAATATGCACATGGAACTTAAGTTTCTTCTATGCTTTTCATGGCTTGATAGCATTTTTCTTTTTAGTGCTGAGTAAGATCCTCCTGTCCAAATGAGCCACTGTTTATCCATTCATCTACTGAAGGACACTGGTTGTTTCCATGTTTTGTGAATTGTGAACAAAACTTCTGCAAACATCTGTGTACAGGTGGTTGTATAGATCAAATTTTCAACTCATTTGGATAAACGAGTATGAATATTGGGTTATTTGTACATGAAGTACTTTGTACTTCCAAAGTAGCTGGAAATTGTGTGTGGTGTCTCATCTCTGCTTTAGCTTGCAGTTCCCTAACGTTGTGTGTCGAGCACCTTTTTATATGCTACTTGCCATCTTTCTGTCTTCTTTGGTGTCTGTTAAGATCTTTGGTGCATTTATTAATAGGGTTGTTTCTATTCTTACTGAGCTTTAATAGATTTTTGTGTATGCTGTGTAACAGTTCTTTATCAGATATGTGCGTTTGGCACGTACTTTCTTCTAGGCGTGTGTTCTCCTTGACAGTGTCTCACAGAAGTTTTAAATTTTAGCCACGTGTAGTTTATCAGTGATTTCTCTCATGGATCATGTCTTTGGTTTCATAGGACTCCCTTTTCAAATACTAACCTAATCTCTGAGTTACACTTCCTTTAATCACGATTTACCATCCTTTTGCTATATCGCTCCATTCAGTTCCTTAATATTTTTTTAATTTTTAATATCTGTTTCACTGTAGGTATGTTGATATGTAAATTTCATTTTTTAAAAAATAGTCTTTGTTAATTTTTTATAATACTTTGGACTTATAAAATGGATTGGAGGAGTACTTGCTCTTTTTCCTGTGTGCTTGAGTTTTGGTGTGTATTTATTTTCCTCTGTTTAGTAGAATTTACCATTGATACCACCTGGAGTTGTATTTTTATTGTGGGAATTGAATTCTATTAATTTAATTTCATGATGATTATAGTTATTTTGATTTTCTACTGCATCTTGTGTTAGCTTTAGGTTTTGCTTTTTTCATGGAATTTATTTTCTTTAAGTTTTCAAATGTGTTTATAGTATCTCTTTGGTTACATAAGACCTATTGATACTTTTTTTTCCCTGTTGATACATTTTTAACTTTTGTTTTATTCTTTTCTTATTCTTGGTCAGTTATGTGAGAGGCTTTTCGCTGTTATTTTAGAACGAATTATTGAGCCAGTTATTGAACTAAAGCTGCTTTGGATTTGTGAATTGTCTATATGTTTGTCATCTTTAACTTTAAATTTATATTTTCATCTTTGTTATTTCCTTCCTAATGCATTTTTGGATTTAATATGCTCATCTTTTCTAGTGTCTCAAGGTAGAAATTTAGATCGCTTCTTTTTCACTGCAATTTAACTTTTTAAAAAAAGGTTTATTTATTTATGTGTGTAGTACTGGGGTGCAGGCCAGAAGTGCAGGGGTTGGTGAGAAAACTCACTAGCAACAGAGTGGGGAGCAGAACAGGCAGGTCAGCAAAGCCCACTGCTGAGAGGAGCAGTGGGTGAGTCAGAGAGGCCTGCTGCACCCTGGGGGTCGCCTCCGGGGCGGGGACCCAACTGGCACTGAGCTGCTGTGTCCGGCTTGCGGCTTGCAGTGCTGCGTCCTGACCCGCTGCGCCACCAGGGAGGGCTGCAGTTTAACTTTTAGAGCTATAAATTTCCCTCTGAGCTGGTTTAGGTTTATCCCACAGATTTTGATAAATTTCATTTTTAGTCATATTCATATTTAGCTTCTTTGCTTTCACTTTTGACTGATAATTTAATAAATGGATCATTTAATTTCAGGGCTCTACAAGTTAATGTTACCATTACTTTTTATTTTTGTTGTGGTCAGACATCACACTAATTTTTTAGTACCTTTGAAGTTTACTCCAATTTTTCTTGTAGTCAGATGCCTTTATGAATATACCAGGTACTTGAAAATGATTTTTATTTTACTTTTGTTACTTACACTGCTTTGTAAATGATGTTTAAATTAAAATGGTTGATACTTTCATTAAGATCTTCCACAGTTTCCTGATTTTTGTTTCATTTTCTTGAAAGGAGAATAGTTAAAATTTTGTATACAGTTGTGGGTGTGCGTGTTCCTTTTCCTATTATGGTGTTAATGTTTATCATGCAGTTTGAAATTCTTAATTGGGGTATTTTCAGTTTTCACATGATCACAATACTGTTAGCTTGTGACCCAGGGGCACCCCAGGACTGCCAGACTTACGCGTCCTGGACAGAGCTGGCAACCCGTGCCCACGACGCCCAAAGAGACTTTCATTGTCAACGAACTTTAGTAGGATTAGAATGTATAGAGAAAGAAGAACAAGGTTCAGTAAGAGTTTCTCCAGTAAAACATCTCAAGTGGCCCACCCTCCCCTGGGTGAGTCCAGCTAAACAGTTAGCGGAAGGGGCTGCTGAGGCCCGAAGCCCGCCACAGTCCGAGGCGCCCCTGGCGGGGAGTGCCAGGAAGAGGTGATGGGCCGGGCAGTTCTGGGATGCAGGGAAGAAAATCAAAGAATCCATCAACATCAAGCCTGCTTTTCGCTTTCCCACGACTTCACCCAGCTGGTCTCAGGTGTCTCTCCTGCCCCTCCACGTGTCTCCTTCCCGGCAGTACCACGGTGTCTGTCGGCCACAGGAACCAGAGCGCCCGCTTCTTCTGTCTGAACCCACCTGCCCTGGGTTATGCAGCTCACCTGGCCACTCAACTCCAGTCTTTGTTAAGTGGGAGACAGGGAATGGAGCTCCCCCTTTATGGGGAGGTCTCTGTATCATGCATCAATTCTTTAATCATTACAGAATGTTTCCTCTCATGTAGGACAATATTCTTGGTCAACACAACAGAATGCTGTGGAATCACAGTGAAGAAAAGGTGCTCTGTACTCAGACCTTCAGGATGTACTTCAGAGTGAATAAAATAAGACATGAAATGCTATATATGTATGTGATATTTTGAAGTATTTTTTTAGCTAGTATTTTCATAAAGTACTGTCTTAAAAGGACAAGAGGGAATGGGGTGTGTGTAGACAGGAGAGGGAGTGAGATTTCTAAGTGGAGACCTTTTTTATTTTTGCAACATATAAATATATCCTTTTAAAATCACTAAAAATTTCTTCTAGGTTGAGGTGATTAATCCACAATTCTTGAATCATTTAAAAGAGAAATAACTCCTAAATTTAAATTTATCCAGATAAGTTTAAATAGATAAAGAGGAGATGCTTGCTAAACACCTGCTTGTCTGGTGGAGATTGCCGCGTGGGGATTTCCAGAAATTCTTTGGTCCAGATGTCCAAGGTTGGAGGACAGCTCCCACCCGTGCAGCCATCGCCAGCTGTGGAGTAGGGAGCAGGTTTCCAGCGGGCATCTCGGCATTTCTGCCCAGCCTGGAAGCTGGACTAGCTGTTGCAGGTCTCTGGCGTGACGACGATGCTGGGGCAGTGGCGGAGGCGAGGGGCTGGCTCCCTTGTCCCCATCAGGCGGGAGCTTCTCTGGCCGTGCGAGGACGGGCTGTGCTCAGCTCCGTGGCTGGCGCGCGTTGCGCCAGAGCTCTTTTTAAATATAATTCACCACTGATGCACATTTTACATCATTGTTCATTTTTGTACAGTATTTGCTTTTCCCACTTCAATGTTCTTGACCTGGTTTTATTTATTTGTTCGCTTTATAATTATGTTAAACTCTTCATTTGTTTCATTTATATGCATATGTAATAATAAAGTTTAACTGGTAAAAATAATTTGTAAAAGCTATATAACCATGGAGTGCATATTATGTAACAAACTAGCTTTAAAACATACAACAACTGGTGGGATAACTTTCAAGAACTTGAACTTCTCCCTCTCAGAAATTGGCCATTAATCAGTTTTAAAAAGTGGGACTTAAAACTATTTTCTGACAGTGGAATTTCTCTAATGGAATAGTCATTCCATTCCATGTTAAAATGATCAGTGGAGTAAAGCAGTGATTTGTTTTCAAGTCAGTAAAAGCTGTGGAGTAGGGAGCAGGTTTCCAGCAGGCATCTCGGCATTTCTGCCCAAAATAACTTCACCGAGGAATTAGAAGTCTGTAAAGTCTGTATCCAGTAGGGCCGCCTTGTTTTATTTTAAAGTAGTCTGTTGACATTTATGCTGTGCAGCCAGCACAGAATTATGGCGCGTGTTAGATTTGCTTAGTC